AGCCTAGCGAGAGGACATTGTGCTAGTGTGGTGGTCTTACATGGATGCTTTGGAGATGACATATGGCCTCCTGGAGGCCCATTGCTTACACGTTGAGAACTATTGTGCAGAGTTGGTGGTTGGTCAGCTTTTATGGGTCACTTATGGGGACTTGAGGAGCAGACTAACAAAACAGAATGAAGTTCTGTTTCCTATGCATAGAAGCGCTTAAAGTAATCTGGAAGATGGAGGGAGTTGCAGTGTATGGAGATTGTTGACTGTACAGTCAGCATGTGCCTAATCAGACTTATTAAGTTTGACTCAGTGCAGGTATTGCTAGAGCCAGTATGACTGCTGGAGAGCCTCTCTGCGCAGTTCTTCAGCTTCTGGGAGGTTTTATTAGTCTGGACTCCATGCTGTGCACATCCAGAGTTGCTTCTGATCCAGCACCGGAGCTAATCTGTGGCATTAGATGATTACGCATCATTCTGCCCAGCGCTCTGAATTCCCGGAATGCTTTGCAGGTCTTATTAGCTGTAAAACATCCAGTTCAAAATACTGCGGAGACTGAACAGCTGCGTTGTCATCCAGCAGTCCCAGGTCAAGTAACCTGGCCCAGATCTTGTCTGGCTCTGCGCCCCAGGTTCCTTCCTTCCTCTGGGTGTACCTCGGTGTTGGCATGGCGATGGTTGGTGCTGTGTGTGTGTGCACACACGTGCGTGCACGTGTGCTGATTGCATGGTGGGTGTTTCTAACGGGAGGGAAGAGGACAGATCAAAGATTTTAGTTGGTGTGCTGCGAGTCCCAGGTGGTGTTCCCAGTTTGAACAATGCAAAGGATTTGCTGTGACGGTCAAAATTTGACTGATTTTGCTCATGAGAAAACGTAAATGATTTTTTCTTTAATTCTGGTCTACTGTTCAGATTCACAAAACTGACATGTAATTCCTTCACGATGTAGTTAGTTGCAGTTGCAAAAACGGCTTGGCTTTTAAATCCAATTTCCAGATATCTTATCTTGATGTTATTTCTATTTTAAACAAGTCACTAATTTAAAATCAGGAATATCTATATTTGTTAATACAGTGCAGTACCAAGAACAATGTCCACAAAATCATTTTACAAGATTTTGGCTCATTTTGTTCATGATCTTTTGGCAGACCGTTTTTATTTTATTGTAATAATATATGGCTTCACCGTTTCCAAGGTATTTGCTATAAAATCAGAAATATTGTTGTTATTAGAATTAAACACCGGACAGGACAAGATTTAGGTAGTAACATGATGTTGAAAGGCTCTCACAGGTAAGAGGCTTAGGCAAGCTGAGGGAATTTCTGCACCACTCTTGGGGTTGTTTTGTGTGTGAAGGGGCTGCCGCACAGCGGGTTCCTGAGAGCGTGCTCAGCCTGTGCTTTGAAGTTCCCTTAGGAGCAGCTACACCAGAACTCGCCCTGCCCTGTGCTGGCGTTCCCAACGCTCGCTTCACCTTGCACCTGACGTTTCCCTATTTGTCCTAGAGCTTACTGACAGATGAGGATGAAGTGAAGTTCTTGGTCAAATGGCGCGTTAGGAACTATCCCACTGCATTTCATTTGTGTTTGTCACTTCTCTGCCAAACTGGAGGAAACGGTGCTTATAAATGACCATTCAGAACATTTGCTCTTTTCATTAAATAATTTTGAAACACTTCTGTGGCTCTTTTATAAGTTTCCAAACCATCCTGTCTGGTACTTTGATACTGCTGTATTGAGAACTTTCTTAATGGCCTTTCTCTCAAGCGCAGGAAGAGCAATAAGAAGTGTAGCTGGGACTTGTCCTAGCCTATTGGTGGTGTTCTGGCACATAATACATATAAGCATGTTAAATGTATCCTACATCACGTATGTCTAAGTTTCTGTGAGGTGATCTAGTCTTATACTTAGGTGAGTATTGCAGTAGGAGTTATTTAAGTACAGTAGGTGATGTTCCAGAGAAACAAAATGCTATTCGTTCTCCGAGTTTCCCGTAGAACCAAATGACGAATAAAATGACTTTTGGCAGAAATTCCAACTTGAAGTAAATCGTAGGAAGTGATGGAAGTGATGTTTGGAGAGTTCCATAGCTTGAACCACGGCATCAGTAGCCATGGACTCTTCAAACGTTTGTTGTTACGTCCGATTTGCTTAGTTATCAACTACTAACGTAGCCTTGGCTTACTAGCTGCAAGCTCTGTTTGTGACAGAAGTCCGGTGCGCTTGCAGTGTTTTGAGGACAGTATCACGTGCAGCGCAGCAGCACTAACCGGCGTTGATGCCTTATTTTGAAAATCAAGCTTACGTGAGTTAAGGGGAAGGAAGGATGCCATTCAGTTGTTGGTCTTGATAAATGGATTTGGCTTGCTTACTGCTGCAGTATAAAAAGACCAACGCTCCATTTATGACCATATAATGTTAAAAATATTAAATAAATTTAGACCAATATGAAATGTTTAGTGCTAGTGAATGGTAGCTCACAATGTGAGCTTTTCAAAAGTGTCCTTGTGCGGACTTTACTTCATATGATGTTTGAAAGAAAATCAATACTAAGGTAATGTCAGGGTGAAACCTGAAAATGCTTAGGACAATTTAAAAGGGCAACTGAGAACTTGGTCTTTACCCATCACAGGTAGGGCAGTGTTGACCCATACAAATAGTAGGAAATCACTTAACATATTTGATCTTCTGGATTAATTTGATAACAAGTTAGGGAAAAATGTTTGCTGTTACCTTTTTTCTTTTGTCTAAGAAGTTTTGTGTCACTGCAAGTTGTAGATGTTTGACTTCTGAGGTTGCAAACTTTCTAAACTTGAAAATACAATTTTTTGTTACTACGTACATTTTCTTGTCTGCTTGTTGGTGTGGAACCTCCTATTCTGGAACCTTAATCTGATTTTGTGGAGTTTCTGTGGCTTAAAACAATGAGCATAAACTCGGCATTTGTGAAATCCTTGCAAGTAGGCATAAGAATATTCTTAAACCATATTCCTTGGATATTGCTTTGAGGCAAGTCAGATGACTTTGGATTGCCAGTGGATAATTGCATGTACGTTGTGAGAGCTGAAATGACGATCAGACACAGTAATAAACATCAGACAACTGTGTGGAATCGATGCATCTCCCTAGCAGTCTTTTTCGTTCTGATCGATAAATAAATTCAACATACTTAGTGTCTCTCAAGACACTCAAGAACTAGTGGTAGTCTTAATGAATGAGGATGGAACTGAGGAGTGCAAAGACCTGTATTATCATAAGTAATTATTTTCATTATATTTCATCCTGCTAAGTAGATCAACTACTCTGGAATATAAACATGCTTAACTGAAAATATGAATTTGATGAGGATTAAGTAGCACATTACTATCAACTTTATATTAAACAAGATTAAGTTTAATCTGCTATAAAAGTGTGAAATTTCACATGGGTAAAGGAATCCAGTTTAAAATCTTCCCATGTACTTTCCCAGATGCAAACTAGTGCTCAGTATCCCTCGCGTTGTTGTTTAGTGTTTCACGTACTGGTTTGTTCGTTTCTCTCGGAGATGTAGGTGGGTAGGCAGTAGCAGCACTGTGAACTAATCCAGTTCGGTATCCGCTGAAGTTGGCGTGCGGCACGCGTACTGCGTAACGTTTAGGCTCTGTAAGCAAGCTTGCTGGTGCAGCCTTTGATCTGTTCTAGGTGTCAGAAAGAGACGTAAATATTCTCCTCTCCCCCATCACCCCTTTATCTTGCAAGCCATGTTCATATGGTAGCCATATGAAAACTCTGCCATATGAAAACCCCAGAACAATAGTTTGATCTCTGAGGAAGGCCTGTCAATTCAAAAATATTCTTGAATTCTGGTAGTGAAATTACTCAGTGTGCAAGAAAACTGGAAACCAGATACTGGGTGCTACGTATCAGTAGGTTTCTTAAAGTTCCAGGTGTCTTCTGAGATCAAAACTCTAGCAAAAATAGGTCTGATATCAAAGTGAACTTTTAAGGTAGATGGGGAACAAAGGAGGGGTAAATACAGGCTTATACAGGAACATATATGAGAAGTCAGCTTCCTATTTAGAACAGTGGAGTTGTATGTAACTAGTTTCAGTCAACTTCATTATGTAAATACCATTCATTACGCCTGTGAAAGCAAGTGACTGTTTCTGTTGTCAGACAACAGAAAAAGGATTGTAGAAAAAAGATTGTTTCTTATAAGCGGAACTGCTTTTAGATTTTGCAGGGCTGTCATGCATTTTACAAAGGAGAGGAAGCTTATGCTTTTTTTTATAGCTACTAGACTGGAGTAACTTGTGACAGTTGATTTCTTACAATTGATAAGTTGTGGTCATCAGTGTAAAATTTTTCACAGTGAGTGAGTAAAATGGACTAACGTGTAAACATTAAGCAGTTCTCTGAAATGTTTCTGGAGGAATCTTGAAGATCAAGATTGTATTTCAAATCACCGTATAGTTGTTCGGTTGCCTGTATGTTCATGTGTTCTACAACAGTGCTCATATTTTCAAAGTGAAGATTTAAGAAAATTCTTAAAAAAAAAAAAAATCTTGTGTAGATACTGTAGGAATAATAGCTAATCTGGAAATAATCTTGGTTGGACAAGTTACTTAATTTACTGTGCCTACATCTTTAGGAGGAGAGAGAAAATCCAGATACCTCCTGGTAGCTATTCCTCAGAGCGGTGAAAGCTGACCGTGGGGGCCACATGAGTCACTGTTAGTAGGCATCCGGGGGAAAATTAAAGAAAAAATATTTGTGTACTCATTCATATGGAAGCGTTCAAACTTTCTGGTGACTGTCACTTGACTCCCTACCTGAAGAATCTAGGCAGGTGGTCTAGAGATGGCATGGTCTGTTCGGCTTGTGTATGAATAATGTACATAATGCGTTCTATGCTGAGTTCATAGCAGGACGTTTAATACAATGGGAGCTTCATGTGTTTATGCATAATAGAATAAGGTTCTTAAATTGGAAGATTATCTAATTTTTTTTTATTCTGATTGTAACTGTTTAGGCGTCTGAACAAGAATAAATTGCAAGTTCTTCCAGAGCTGCTTTTTCAGAACACACAGAAGTTAACTAGATTGTAAGTATAATCTGATTTATGTTTCTATTGTACATTCCTTATTACACAGATTTGCACATTTCTGTATTGACTGTGGTGAGAGGTTTAATTTTTGTGTTACTAGAACTGCTGTATAGTAAGGATTCTTAAGATGATGTGTTATGTTTGCATGTGTGTAGTTATAATTCAGTAGAGCATAAATATCAGAGGGAAGAGAAACCACAACATTTTTTTGTGCCTCATATATTCACCATGATGACTTCAAGGTGAATTATTTTCAACTCTGTGTAGAGTCACAGAAACCGTGAAAAGTGTCAACTTGTCGTAGCCAGTATAGTCTAGATGTCCACAAAGAGAAGATTGCATGCTCTTATTTAAAAATAGAATGTTGACATAATACAGATTGTTATAACTTTTTTAGTTTTAAAAATTATCTTTTTAAGTAAGTCAAGGCATTGCCAGGCAGACCAGCAAAGTTGTGGCTGCTGCCTCGTCAGTCAGGAAGATGAGGAAATATGGAGAGGTAAAGAATTTTTCATCTCCTTGAAATATAAGAACTGTGTTATAAGGTGTTTAAATGACATCAAGAGCAGTTTGAAGAGCAAGAGAAGACTAACGTGAGCTTGGCATCATTTTTTTTAGTGTGGGGAGGGAGAGAGTGGTGTTAGCACAATGACTGGATGATATATAAAATATATTTAAAAAAAAAAATTGAATAGAAATAAAATGGATGAGCAGGTGCCTGCACAGTTGCTATCAGGAGAAGTCATCTGCTTTTTAAAGGAGTAGTCAAAAGCTGTTTGAAATCACTTTCTAGATCCTGCCAAGGTTAAACTCATGATCCAGTCTGCCTTTTTGAAAGATGTCCTATATGGTAAAACTGTTTTTTGGGGGGTTTTTTGTTTGTTTGGTTTTTTATGCTTGAGTTTACATATGGAAGACCAGTTAGTAAAATTTATGATTTGTCTAGTGAAATTGTAAAGTTGCTACAGGATTGCTGAAAAGTTGCTACATCCATGTGGGGTTTTTATACTTGTTTTAATACCTCTATATGCAACCAAACAAACCATTTAGGCAGCGCAGTAAATTTTTTTTCTTCCTGTGGAAATACAAAACACATGGTGATGGTGAAGAATAATTTTGCAATCGGCTGACTATTTACAAAAACAGGCTCGTCGTTGATGTTTTGACAGCAGACAAATTGAACAGTGTTGTGCAGCAAGTGATACTGTTACAGTTTTGGAGAATTTCTGTAATGAACTTTGTTGTTGCCTGAACTTGCTCGTGAAAAACTGTACAAGTAAGTGAATGACGTTGTTCTGGAGGTTCAAAAAAAAAAAAAAGTAAATACAAATAATTACAAGCTATAACTGTCTTTTAATCTCAAAATCTGCTTGAAAAAAATCTTTGTTGGGTTTGGTTTTGCAAGCTTTGTCGCAGCTTTTGAATGCACTAGAAAGTATTTGCTCACTGGATTTGCTAGGGCTGAGTGATTTGGGTGTATTTCCTAATGTTCTTTGCGTGCTTTTGACATTCTGTATCTTGAACCTTCTCTTGAGTATAAAGTGTGAGCTGGTACGTACTTGCAGATGATACCATTGTCTGGTCTCCAGAAGATGCCAGTGGTATTTATTTCATAGAAGTGTTGCTTCATGTAGGTTGATCATCTAAGGAAATGGTGATGCTTTCAAGATAAAAAAATTTTTATAGAGTTTACATGTACCCGCTTATACCAATTCCAGTGAAACATGTTGAACTTCCTCTGTGAGTGGTCTCATGGTAAAGGGCTCTTATTAGGCTGCAAGGAACTTTCTGGTGATTTGTGGTTTGGAGGGCAGGTTGCGTATGTTGATAACTTGGGCGCATCTGTCTGAAGGAACCTTGCACAAAGAAACTAAGTGAAAGTAATTGAGGCTTTTTGCTACCAGAGTGCGTATTTTTTAGTAGATCATGTAATCATGATACATTATCATCCTTAACAGCAAGAGTAATAATTTTGGTTTTAGAATATAAAGATTGTAATAAAATTATGTAAAATGAAATGATTAGTATGAATGCTGTATTCTCTAATGCCTCCCGATGGATGCTGTAGAAATATTTGTCTTTATAGATCACTTTAGTGCTGTTTGTCAGTAGAAACAGGCTTTTTCTTTTGAAGATACAAGTGTTATGTAAATATAGTGAATATTTTAAGTAAATAAATCTTAGCTAAGTGAACTGTTATGGTTCCAAATGCAGTTTGGTTTTATGTTTTTCAGTGATGGGATAAGAATGAGAAATTTGCTGCCTACTAGAATTTGTAAAAATACACACATATATTTTACACTTTGAGGAAAAATAAAAATATGTGTCTAAGAAGGTTACTTTCTGTTTTTTTGTGTTACTGTCTTGGTCCTACTGCTAGTAGATTTCAGAGTTGTGGTTTTTTTTTTTCACTTCTGTTATGACTTTTCTCTTAAATCCAACAGTGCCAGTCTACTTGGTTCACAACTGGCTTTCTGGGTAAAACGCTTCAGTGAAGAGGCGTGGTGCTTGCATTCCTCTCCTGCAGCTGCTCTGACTTAGTCTTTCAGGAAGAAAGCATAGCTGAGAAAGTGATGAAAGGGAATTAAAGAAGTGAAGCACAAATTGATAAGAGGGACTGATACACGGGTGATGTAAACTCTGTGGAATTTGCGATGAGTGAATTAAAATGAACGTTAAAAAGTGTAGATAATGCTGATCTTAATTTTTGTTTTCCATAGTATAGGTATATCATTTCTGCTGCCATATTTTCAAACTGTTGACTCTGGGCTACTAAGCTATGAGTCAATTATTTTGTTCTTTTTTAATAGTTATAATCCTGATAAACTAGAAAGTCCAGAATTAAGTATTATAATAGTTAAGCTTGCTGCAGCTCAAGTGATGCAAAATTTTAAGAACTAAATATTGCCATGTAGTATACCCAAAATGGAGAATTTGATTTTCTTTGTTGAAAACGAGGAGCTCATAGTCTTGTCCGCAAAGCAAATACAGATGAAATCAGCAGTGATTCTTACGGCTGCTCTCTTTAGCAGGCATGCACTGAACCATAACAGCCTACAACTTTGTTAATGAAGGTCCAGACTAAATTTTTTAAAACTATAGAACTAAACACAAAGGTGACATTTTAAGTTGGATAACTTGATAACAGTGTGAAAGTTGGGCGTATTTATTAGCATTAATAAAATTTGGTGGAGATGGAGTGACTGACCCACTTAAACATGCGGGAATTCTGCACGCTGAAGGGTTTCAGGGAAGCCGTGTTAATGTTTCGGGAATAGTTAAAGGCTGCAAAACAAACGTGAAGACTTTTCTCAGTGTTCTGTCAGCTGGCCTGAAATCTGCCTGTGAGTTTACTAAAGGAACAAACTTCTTAGTGTCATTCAGTATCAGCTCAGTCTCTTCAGTCTTGTTGCTGCTGGAAACTGAAATGCAGAACATTAGGTTTCCCTTCGATGATGTGCTTGAAAAACTAGAGAACAAACCTGTCTGGCGACGTTTCACACGCGTGCTGTTTGCATAGCTTGGGACAGCTATGCTGTTGTCCCCGATGGTTTCTGTGTTTGTCGTCGTAGCGTACCTATGTCAGGGCACTGTGCGTTTTCACTGAAATGCAGTCTTTCCAATAACTAATAAAATTTAATCTAGAATGCTTCTCAAATTATAACTACTTCCTCAATCAATCACTTAGCTCCAGGTACCTTTGCCTTTTTTCTCCAACCCTCTCCTTAAATGCCGAGCTACAGGATATCCTTGTGTCTTTTACAGCGCTCCTTAGACTTCGTTGTCACATCTGGTTGGTATTAGAAGCAGGAATATATATATAAGGGAATTAATCTTAGACGGAATGTGAAACGTCCCACAAAATGAGTTTCTCGTAAGGTTATGAGCCTTTACTTCTAGAAAGAGTGGCTTTGAGACTCGTGGATTTTGTTTGCTTTAGGTTAGATAAGAGCTTTAAGTTTAAATTGGATGGTGAATGAACCCCTGATTGGATTCTTTGGTGGAAATATTTGCCATTGCTCTGTTGCCTTGATTTCCTAGGTTTTAAAGCTTCTTAATTATTTATCCCAGATAAAACGTTTAAGTATCTAATAATTCAAACTCTAAGCACTTTTAATGAGAAAACTGAATCAAGGAAAAGGCACTTTTAATAAATTGAGAAATGGAAACAAGAAAGATATTTTTTTCTATAGTTTCAGATATTATTTACTAATACTAGCCATAAAGAAAAAGGTAATATTAATCTTGGTACAAGTGATTTAAATACAGAGAAAAAGCGTAATAAACCAAAACGTGTAATTTAACAGCTATAAAACCAGGTTTTGATCCCAAGATAATTATTTTCTAATATCCAAAACAATTTGTGAGATTTACTGGCAAAGTTTGTAAACACAGCTTTGTGCATGCTGGAATCATGAGCTGCCTTCGTGTGCCCAGATGGTATATAAAATGATCGTAGTGTATCTATTTTTCACTAAAGGCCAAGTATGCTAGTGGTCCATGAGATATTTAAATATCTTTAAAAATAAAATAAAAGGGGGACATCCCCCCCAAACACCCCAACATGTAAGAATAGATTTGTTTCATTGTAACTTCCATACCTAAAGCCAGCAGCTAAGTAGTCAAGGTAAAGTTCCTTTGTGTGCATGGAAAAAACTCTTAGAAGCGCTCTAAACTCAAGACTTGCAGTGAGAGTTAATACCTTCACCGAATTTATAGCCGTGGAACACTTGTTGGGTCTAGAGCACAAGTCCTGTGAGGAGTGGCTGTGGGAGCTGGGGTTGTTTAATCTGGAGAAAAGGAGGTTCAGGGGAGACCTTAGTGCTCTCTACAACTACCTGAAAGGAGGCCATAGTGAGGTGGGGGTCGGTCTCTTCTCCCAAGTAACAAGCGATAGGACAAGAGCAAATGGCTTCAAGTTGCACTAGGGGAGGTTGAGGTGCGATTTTAGGAAAAATTTCTTCACGGGAAGGGTTTTCAAGCAGTGGCACAGGCTG